AGTTTGATGTTCATTTATCATTAATTCTGGCCAGTATTGTTGTAAAAACAAAAACGCACAAAAATGGGTCGCAAATCGCAGGAGACAACAATTTCTGATAGGAAAATAATATTGAATTTATCAAAAGAAGGAAAGTCTTACTCAGCTATTGCAAAAATAGTAAATAGAAGTCGTTTTACGATAAGAAGTGTCGTTAAACGATTTTCTAACACGGAAAATTGATGAAATTCTGATAGAAGTGGCCGGCTACAAAAATTGACCGTTAGAGAGAAGAGAAAAATTATTAACACAATAAAAAAAAATCCTACTGCTACCTCTTCAGAAGAAGCAGCACAATTAGAAACTGAAAATAATGTAAAAGTTCATCCGACAACTATCCGTAGAACTCTTAGAGCTGCTGGATATAATTCAAGAATCGCAAGAAAGAAACCGCTCATTAGTAAGACGAACAGAATAAAAAGATTAGAATCTTCAAAAATGTATGTAAATAAAGATTTAAACTTTTGGGACAAAATTTTATTTTCGGATGAAAGGAAATTTAATATTTATCAATCGGATGGGCAAGTTAAAGTATGGCGGTAATGTAACACAGAATTAAATGAAAGGAACACCAGTAAAACGGTCAAACATGGGGGTGGCGGTGTGCTAGTATGGGGGTGCATGAGCTCTTCTGGCCAGGAGAGCTTGTGTTTATTGATACTATAATGGATAAATACGTTTATTTTAACATTTTAAAACAGAATCTTAAAAATAGCGTGAATAAATTATATCTCGGAAACGACTATTACTTCCAATAAGATCATGACCCTAAGCACACCGCCTATATTGTTCGACAATGGATAGTTTTCAGCACACCTCATACGTTACCCACTCCACCACAGTCAGCGGATTTAAATCCTATCGAGCATGTTTGGAACGAATTAGCTCGAAGATTAAAAAAACACCATATTGTGAATAAACAGCAGTTAAAACAAGCAATTTTAGAAGAATGGCATAAAATAGGGTCAGAGATAACGAAAAAATTAGTGAATTCAATGCCTAATCGATTAAAAGAAGTTATTAGAAAAAAAGGTTTATATACCAAATATTAGATCTTACAATATAATAAATTATATTAAAAAAACGTAGATGTGCCAATACTTTTGTTCCGCTGAAAACGAGCCACGATGTGGTTTTTATTTTTTTTCTTTGTTACAGGTCTATTTGACTTTTATGACTTGTAATATATTTGAACTTCGGACTCCAGACTTATATTTGAAAAAAGGATTAAACAAGAAACTGCGTTCTTTTTATATTTATTTAACATTATGTATAGACATACCTCCTGTGCCAATACTTTTGTTCGCCACTGTATATCAATAATACTGCTTAATAACAATAGTGAAATCGAAAGCTGGTTTTATGACCATTCTAGTCGACGTTCAACGAAACAGTATTCCAGTCCCTTCGTTTTCGATCGACACCCGATGGTGACTTTCAGAGTGACCTAGGTCAGGCCACCATTATCGGGCCCAGTCATAACAAAATTCGTCGGCCAAAGCAAAGAAGCTACGAGCACCGAAGTAGTAAAAAATCTTCAGGTTTATAAGTCGAAAGTACGAGTTTTTTAGTTTTTTAACTTATTTGTAACTCTAACTTGTAAGTCTAACCACTTTTAATAGTTTGTAACTTATACCCTGCAATTTTCAACGTGTATGTATCTTAATTAAGTGTATAAGAGGTATTTGTTAAATTTTCACTATAGGATCAACAAAAAATGAAAACAGAATTTCTTAATATTTTTACTATTTCCTTCGCTATTCCAACAATTGTAATGTTTTCGAAATAACGAAAACATGTCATCTAATAAGTTAATCCTTCTAGCTTCTCAAAAAAACCCAAGTCGTTTGGTCCAATTTTTAAAACAAAATACGTACTGGAACAGGTGCAGACGCAGCGAAGAGGATACGCTAAGTACGCATGCGACAGCAATCAGTTGTTAGTACAAAATCTATCTCCGCTGGGCGACGAATAAAAGATTGACAGAGCGTATGCGATTAATTGTGTTCCTTTTGTGTCTCTTTTATGAAATATTTTTGTAAGTATATAACACCTGCGTCAATTATGTCAATAAAAAATTAATATATACCATTTCCAACAAGAGATTTGTATAGTATTCCATGTTTTTCGTATGTGGAACACCCGGAATATATATTGTGCCATTTTTACAATTTGTTTCTCGAGAATATCATGTCAAGTATCTCGTATGTAATTTCATTAAATAAAAAAATAAGCATCATTGCAAGTACGAATAAAAAGGTTCATCCTTGCATACATTAGTACGTATTGCTTAATTCTCGGATTTCCTTCCCTCGCGTCGTTCTTTTCCTACGTTCCGCGAGAATCGAAATCTCGCCACGAGCCGTAGGCCGTAGCTGTTCCATCGTTCTCCTGACGGGCAGAATTGTCGTGTGACAACAGCGTAACAAAACAATCAATACGATCCACCACGTGTTGTGAGGTTACATTTACCGACTCCCTCTGTTTTATCGAAGCTCGTGGTAACGCAGGCTAAAGTGACTGACAAATACCATAAACGCAAGTCTGCCAGCCGAGTTCCCGCGGTTGCATTGGCTACCTAATACAATCGCAGCACGTAGCCAACGCTACCACGCACCAACATTCCACCGCGCACTATCCAGTGTTAACCACGCAGCCAAAATCCTACGACACAAAAGTACACACACGACGAACAAACTTTTTTCTATCTTTTTTAGATATGAATAAGTAAACTCGCTGTAACATATATGGGGAAAAATTATTCAGAATGATGACCTTGACAACATATTTCAAGGTCTTTGAAACCGGTGAGGAAGTCACACTTCCAAATAATTACCAATATTTTCAACACACAAACAGTCATTACTTTTACATACATCCAAAATACATCAAGGTGGAAAATAGTCATAAGTCTCTTTCATCTTAGCCCTTTAAATCCTGAATTATGTTATCGTAATTTGTTTGATGCGACTTTTATCGTAGGTATTTGAAGACTGTTCAAAAATGGTGTTTTTTATTTGTTTATTCAAATAGCTAAATATGGTGTCTGTAAATACTGGCACTATTTTATAGCATCTGAGAGGCCTTGAAAAAATAAATTCCTACTTATAACTCCTAGAGGAATTTTAAATATATTGGTTCATGACAGCATTTTAATATACTCGTGGTTCCTCCACTCACTTGCCAGTATGTATGACTCGAAGCTCGATTTTTCAATGCCTCTTTCAGATGTTTGGTGGAGTCGAAGATCGCGAGGGCCACTGATAATTTTCCCAGAGGTGTAGTTGTTTTCGGAAGAGTTTGAAGAACGGAACCAACAATTCCACCACCTGACGCGGACCACCAATATTTCCTTCTTTGACGTCGTACCGACCAGTCAACGATTAACGAGACGATTTGTTCCTGTGTTGGAACGTCGCTGGTAACTAACAACCAAAATACAGCTTCCGCGCTGGGCGACTTCCCTTGACGCGGTAAAAGAGTAAGAACTTCCGGTAGCGTCAATCCCCTATACTTGATCTGTAGGAAAACAATATAATATATTTGCGGAGAATTTCCTCTGTACTACAAATTAATCTTTCCGTAGACAATGTTGATCGTTGACCACCCAAGCGAATTCCCCTTTTTTCTGAACTTTCCTCCGAATGTTTATTTTTATTGAAAAAAGTTTTAAACATTTGACTTGACGAACGATTGTATAATGTAGTAAAGATTTGGATATGACTATAGTCTAGAATTTTTTCAGATTTTTTAGGAAAGGCTGAAACAGTAAAAAAATTGGCTTGGGCATAAACAACCCAATTTGCGTACGGAGTGTGAAAAAATATGTTTGCCTACAGAGGGTTAATCATACGTTTTACTTGACCGATCAATCGTTTCAAGATCGTTAGAGTGAGTGAAATTTAATAAATTATTACGATAAATTGTAATTTTACGTACAATGTGTTTGTTTATTATATTGATATATGATCCACCGTTTTTTTTAACAGGAAGACGTAAATAAAATTAATCAGTTATATACAATATCTAACCTAAGGTCGACTGATATTTATTAACGCTAATTTTTTACAATCTTCAAAAATGACTGTTTATAAATATTTCTTTTCCACTGACGTTTGTACATTTGTGTGTTGCATGAATGAATTAAATATAGAGTCCCATAATTATTAAATGTGCTATTTCTCTTTTAAATTGTATTACAAATTATATTTGCAACAGTGACACTTACACCATGTTTTGGATCAGTTTCTGATGTTTCTCTAACCATAGTGTTCACGCCATTCAATCCCTGGTATATGTTTTCCACGGTGACGTGACTGACTACGGTGGACCCGTACCGTTCGCGAAAATTCCGTAATAGGTCGTAGTGAACGGGAATCTTTTCCCATAGGGCTTCCTTCAAATTTGTGCTTATATTGGGAGTATTTCTCGTTCTGCTTACCTTAATTTCATTAATTCTTACATTGTTTAGCAGTATTTGTCATTTTCAAGGCATAGCCTTTATATATACGTAACATTCTATTCTCACCAAAAGAATTATAGCGCGATAGAAGTATTATATTTATACATACGTACTTTCTGTAAGACAATAATATAACTTTTTTATAATGAAATTAAGTATATTAAGTACTAACTGTATCCGTCACTGATTTAATCGTAAATAAAATTAGAAATATTTGCTATATAATAAACTGCAGGACATTCATTTTAACTAGTCTCCAAACTTTGTTTCGACAAATAGATTGGACTTTATTCAAAGTTGCAATTTTTAAATTTTATTAAAAGAAATTATTCTCAATGATAGTACGTTTAGTTTTTTCTAGAAGTGATCCAGCTTCATCTAATAAATAGGAATTTTCCTGCATACACATAAATTGTTCAATGTGAGAAAAGTTAGTAGGAGAATGTAACTTTAAAGGAAATTCGTAGGACATTTGATCACTGTTTTACATGACATAGATTGCGACATTTAATTTTGTAAATGTTTTATAAATTGCGAAATACTTTTTCGTGGACAACGAGAGTTGAGAATTTGAAATTGTCATACTTTCATTTTAAACAAAAGTAACAATTAAAGTGAGTTTCAAATAAAAGTATAAATTGCTTTTATCAGTTTTGGTTATGATTTCGAAAATCAAATTGGCTGCGAGTAACCTCGTACATCGGTAAATTGATTCCAATCGTCACTACGTGTCGCCGTCCTCCGAAATTACTATTGCTGCTCTGCCGCGAACACATTACAATCAACGTCTGCGTGTTCGTCCATCCTCCCCAAATCCGGCACATTTTTCTGCGATATATCAATAAGTGGAAGGGGCAGCTTTTAAAGATGGATCCTTAAAACTTCCACAGAAACGAAACATTATATCGTGTATTAAATTTGAACCGGTATAATCCCATTTTTATTTCTATTTTTACTTCAGTATTTGTGGAAAATAAGGCATAAAATTTAAGCATTGCTCGGCTCTTAGAGAAAATGGGCAAAATCAAATCATGATGAGACTTTTGACATATCCATGTGAAGATTTTCTTTTGTTCCTTTGACTGTCTCCTCGAATATGACATTACAAATATCCTTTTTTCCGTAAATTTTTTTAAGAATGTTTAAATAATGTTGACACTAATTTTTATAGATAATTGTTGTTAATATAAAACACGGAAATTATTGTTTAAATAAATAAACAATATTTTAATCATTTTATTGCACAGTTTTATACAGCATAAAACGCCACAAAATTTAACTGTAACAGTTTTTGTACAACTACCATAGCTTTCTAGATATTCAAGAAATTAGAAAAACACACATTAACCTTTAAGGGATGTTTTCACCCTGTAGAGTAAAAGGTAGCACAAAAAATTGCTCGATACTTCTATTGTGGTCCCTTACAAACCTGCAAGTTTTAAAAACAAGTTGGCATTTTTTGATTTTCGGAAGTTCCCTTGTGAACAAGTTGCGTTTTATTGTTGCGTCACGCAACTTACACGTGCAGTTGCTCAATTTAGTTCTTTTCAATTACTTCTTACAGATGGGAGAATGAACAATTGCAATAAAAGTTGTAAATAGTGCCAAGATGAAAATAATTAAGCTAATTATGACGACGACACGTCTCCATTTTTGTATATCCAAAAGTTGACAAAATACACGGTGAACTATCAACCATTCGTAAAGTGCACCACGTGTCGATAATTAAAATGAAGTCTAAGTACAACCCTAATAACCAGTTATGTACGAGTTTCGAACAAATTGCCAGCAATAAATGACAAAAGTTGTCTAAAAAACCATAGCCATTTGTTTCTGCATTTGACTTGAGCTGACAAAATGGTAAAGCAAATTGGCAAAATAGCTTGGCAATATGACGTATGTCAAATTGAGGGCAAAACCAGAACAAGGTTTGCGCAAGCCAACTTACTGCATATGTTGCTGCCAATGTGTGCGCAAGGTGTTCATAGCAAATCTTGCATAAAACTTGTAGCCATAACTTTATAACAGGCATTGGACAAAATTTGGCTTTGCAGGTTTGGTTGACTGGTAAAAGCATATTTGAATATTCTTTTTAACACTCCTAATCCTATTTTTCTTTTCGAGATTATTAATAAGCAGGGTTGGGCAGAATTTTGTTCGAATAATACACATTGAAAAGCAGCAATATCTACGGGTGTCGTTCTGAGCTTTAAACAGTTAATGAGATTAAATACTTCTTCGACAAATGTCGATTCATTCATAAAGAAGGATTATTTTATTATAAAAATTGAAAATTCCACGTTTAAACAATTAAAAATGACGAAATACTTTTTTTTATCTTTTATTCGTTATTCGAAACTTTTTATCTAGATAATGAATTTGCCCATCTTTGTTAATAAGTACGTAATTGGTATTAACGAAATGGTTACCAACCTACGAGTTTAGTTTCACTTTGTTATATTGTCGAAACAG